ATCGGCGAGCTAAGAAAATGCTTCTCTCCCTGAGCCTGGCCTTCATAATTCCATTCCATCACATCTATAAACGGTAAGCAGTACATTAGATCAACACTGAAAGTTATAAATCAGAATAATATATAATTCTATAGATAAGGAAACCCACATTTCAGATGTGGTACAAATTCATATATAACATTATAATCCAAGATCCATTTCTATGCACCAGATTTACTTTTTATGTAAGAAGTTATTCTGGCCTTCAAAGCAAACTTCCACAATTTAGCTAGCCATTCTTCCAAAGAGTGAGTCAAAGGTCTTTTGCAGTAAAAAGCGTATCAAATTCTTTCAGCCATTAGCATATACAGTGCTAATTCAATGTAATTTGAAGGGACATAGGGTTTAGTGAAATATAAGAATATCTCAGGTTATAATGGAATTACAACTTTGTCTCTTAATCTGTTCCATACAATTGTGAATCATTTACTAGTATTGTTGAGCTTTACACACTGCCATAACATAAAAAGGGATCCAGGCTCTTGGTTACATTTCCAGCATTTTCTAGAAAAAGAATTATTCATTTTAGCAGACAAGACTGGAGTAATATACCAACAGTAGAATGTCTTGTACCAATTCTAAGTATTATGTTCCAAGTAAATTTAATATTCTCCTTCTATTGAATTTCCCACTCTTGCATCTCTACAACTGTGTTCAAGTTCTGCATCCATTTATCATATTGCCTTTAACTTGTTCAGATTCTGAATCATGTTTTTTGGTTTCATTGTTGTAAGCCGCCAGAGCTGTGTTCTAAGATGGGTGGCCATACAATTTTTAAAAAATAAATAAATAAATGTACCTAACAAATGTTCAGAATTACGTTATACGATTCAGTCAATTCTCTCAATATTCTCCCTTGTTTCTGTATTTCTTTTTTTCCAGTGCTGCTTATTTGGAGATACTAAAACCAATAGAATGTAGTATTGTGGAATAAGAAATTCAAAGGTTTTTATCTTTGTCCCATTAATAATAAGAACTTTCAGTCTAAACAGGTTATTGTCTTTCCACTGAACAAATTCCTTAGTATATTCATCTTCATGAAAGTAAACATTTAATAACAAAGCAAGGGAGGAAAGCCTGGGCTTACCCTTACCCTTTATCACACGTTCAGTAGATTACTTAATATTGCATACCCTCCCATACATTTTTTAAATTTATGTTGGTATCAGTTCAGATATATCTAGGCAGCCCCTCTGGAAAACCTGCCCCTTCTATAGGGGTTATAGAACCATATGAGATATGATCTATTCCGAAATCCACATTAAATAGCTGACATGATACTATAGTCTGACATTTAGCTTTGTAGGCCACTTTGTTCTCCTGAGTCCTGAAGGTTCTTGGTCTTTCGTTAGGCCATATATAATTCATGTCTATGCCAGTTATTTAGCACCTTATTCTCAATGAGGACTGGAATCATTTGAAAAAGGAAGTTAAGTCTTGATAGAATATTCATTTTAATGACTGCAGCTGTTCCTGACAAGGATAATTTTAGTTTTTTTCCATCTGAGAATATCTGTTGTTATATTTTTCCAGTCATTACTGGCAAATAATTATTCTTGAATAAATCTCTATTTCTTGTCAGGAAAATTCCTTAAATGTTTTACCTTCTTATCATCAGTGTTAAACATGATTGTTCGGCATGGACATGGTTTTTCTTCCTTTGTCAAATTCCATATCAGTAATTGAGTTTTCTCTTTATTGATCCAGTAACCTGACACCAAAACATATTGCTTATATGTTCCATCAGTGATGTTAGAGTGTCTGTATGCTGAACAATTGTAAGAACAGTAGCAACATCAAATAATTTCAGTTTGGGTTCTTGTGTAATTAGCTTAATTCCCAAAATTCTGTTATCCTGGTGTAGGTGAATTGCCAGTGGTTCTAGTGCCAGTAAAAATGAAGGAGGAGAAAGGGGATACTCTTGTCTTGTCCCCTTCAGTGTAATCTAATTTACTACAGCTTTGGCTTTCAGCTCTTTGAGGCTCAGCTTCTTTACCATTCATATTTCAGAAACTGGGTAATTAAGGATAATTCATCTTTCCTTTGTCATTTGTTCAGAACTAGCTAGTTTTTATAGATGTTTACACATTATAAACTTAAGAAAGCACAAAACCTGTTTCCCAATTTGCAATTTTTTTGGTAATATATAATATAAAAATGAGTACTTCCTAATGCAGTATCAGGTAAAGAGTGATTATTTTAATGCAAAGAGGTAGTTTTAGGATGCTATCAGAGAATAGTACATTTTAAGTATTCTGCTTCCTCTTCCTCCTAATTAGAGAGACCGGGAATTTCTGAAATCGGTGTTCGTCCTGGTGTACCATGACACTGTCTATCCACTTCTTCAGTCTGTGTTCCTCCCAGAGTATAAGTGGGCAGAAGAAGAATCTGAAGGTGCTCGCTGGCGAATAATTGCTGAATTCCTGAAGAAAAATCGAGAAAGAGGGGGCAGTCTGTCTTCTCTGCTGTCACTGGAAAGCCCTCACAAAGCTTTTGATGTCATGGAAACTGCATATGACTTTTTAGGAGAGGGTAGGAAAATTAGCCCTCTAATATGACAGAAGTTTGTGGCTGTGCACCTCTGCCAATTGCCAAGCCAACATGAATCAGTTAAATAGAATTGATAATGTGTTCCAAAAAGTTGTATTTTTATCATTTGACTAAAACTTTTACACCAAATGTATTAAGACAATGTATTGGTAAACTTTTTAAAGTTTAGTTATTGTGTTGGTTATTGTTTTGTATATTTATGAAGGAAGTAAACACATATTAAAGATATTCTATCGTGTTTTTAAGTGTCTTTCTTCATGGAGTTATTCTCCTGTTTCCTTTATATTTCTTCACATTAAACAAATTTCATTTGATGAATGTTGATATCTACTTCTAATGCTGATTGTGAGATAAATGAGTAATGTCAGAAATTTTTAGGAAATATTAAGAATCGTCTTAAGTAAATATCAGAATTGAATCTGTTACAGAAGTTGCTCTGAACATATATGAACATGCCTTGATAAATGCTGGTGTTTATTAGTAAATGGATTTAATTGAAGATGATGTTTGATCACTGGCAAAAGCTAATAAATGTGAGAGTGCAGTATATTTGTATTGCCCTTGTGAAATGTTAAGAATTAGTGTAAATGTCTCTATTGTAAAGGAAATTTCAGTTTATTCCAAAGTTTGAATTATTTAGGTATGCATGCCAGATTCAAAGCTTTGTCAGATCCATATTCTGCTGAGGTTCTGAATAATGGGCCAAAGATAGTTTGTTGCCATTGTTACCAGGGAGTGAGTGAAAGCTCTCTTGGGATTTTGGTCAAAAGATGTGCGGTTCTACAGTTGGTACAGTCCTAATTTAGTGACTGCCTCGTACAGTGACCATTCACAGTTACAACGATAATGAAAAAGTAACTTTGTGACCAATTCTTGTATTTATGACCTTCACAGGTCTGTAAAGCAAAGGAAAGCTGAAATAAGATCATAAGCACAGTCGCAGTTTCACTTAGCAACCATTCTGTTTAACAACTGAGTTGCTAAATAAGGACTACCTGTATTCCCATTGCCTTTTGCTTGGTAGGATGGGAGTAGACTTGGCTGAGATCTATGTTGCTATATGTTAGTACCTCAGTGGCGCTTACCAATGTCTTTTGCCTTTTCAGTTTTGCCAGGCATTGTATTGCTTCAGCCTGATAAGCAGGGATATTGGTGTAGCCTTTTGAGAATGGAATGAGATTGGCTTGCAATGTGGGCCACCTCAGAAAGTCTCCCATGTGGTGTGGAATTCAACTTTACACAAATGGAATTCCTTTGTGCATAGGGCTTTCTTCTTGTTTTCTTGCCTGCAGAGTTAAAAGCAGTCTTGAACTCTGTGTCACAGAATTTGAAAGACCCTATGGAGTACATCTTGAAGCGCATATTGGTTGAAAGGTTTGCTGGGGAGAGGGGGAAAGTGCTTCCTTTTCATTATCTGCCTAGAAAGTATTTCCCTCAGAAACTCACCATTGGATTCTGCCCTGATCTCCAGGCACAAATCTCACTGAAATAAATGACAATTGAATTTCTTAATTTGCATAATGATCCCAAACTAGAAATATAGCTGTAGAGAAGAAACTGGTTCAACAAGGCTAGCTAGAAGTAGTCATGTTTTTGGATGTGTTCCCAATCAATTAACAGCAAGACAAAGGAGTCTGTTCAGCAAAACATGTCAGTGCTGCCCTTAAAATGGTTTGAAAATAAGTTGGTGTTAAGCTAATAAAAAGATTACCTGCTTCAACCTTGAAAGTTAACATACGTATATAATTAAGCATTATTTAGGCTAAGCACCTTGCTGTGCATTTGTCTTCCTCTCAGTCTAGCAAGATGTAGAAATTGAGCGGGTAAGTTTACAGTCCTCAAGGCTACAGTATTTCTTGGAGGTGCATGTTTTTTTCCCTACATGGGTGTGTCTGTATTTATGTGTTTGTTGAAGGGAAACCTATTTTCTAATGCATTAACACAAAACATCTGTGTATAGATCTACAGTGGCTTGCAAAACGGCTACAGCAAGGTAGACTTATGCAATGTTTGCATCTGATGAGTATAACTGAGGAATATCTGCCCATTTTATTTTAAAACTCTCAATATTCTCAAAAATATAAAAGAATGATACTTGAAGTAATATGCCCCAGCCAATAAATAAAATCTCAAAGCAATCCTTGTTTAAAGAACACAAACAGTCCAAGTTAAAATATTGGGAATAGTATGTAGTTACTAGGCTTTCACTATGCGCTATCCAAGGAGAACACTCAGAAAATGAAAGAATGTGCTGAAACAAAGTCATGTAAACTCTGTATTTTAACTTCTTGAAATGGGGTTCAATTTTCATTGCATTGGAGTTAACAACAAGCTTTTGATCGGCGCTGTGGGGAGAGCGACTAGGGGAGAAAACAACCAAGTCCCTATTTCCAAAGTATGTTATGACTATCATGGTCTTGTTTGGTAACCAGTTCAGTGATTATTTACCCCAAGCTTTGGGAAAGATTGTACAAGTGAAATTGTATGTTTCATGGTTCTTAATGCATTCCTGTGCCCACTTGGTGGCATCTTCTTACTTTGCATTTAGTTGAAGGATTGGTGAAAGATGCTCAAAAGCAGTACAAATTATTTCCCCCATTACCTCCTGCTCCCCATTAAAAGGGTCATGCAAGAGTCAAAGACAGGTGACATTCTTCAGAACAGTGAATGAATGAGTCCAAGGCTAGCACAGACAATCAGTTCCTGAAGCCATATGATTATTGCTCAAAAACAAACTCCTTGTATTGATTTCAGAACAAAACAAAACAGGCTTAATTCTGCTGCAGCTCTTGTTCTTCCTGTCTTTGCCTCTTGTTCTGTTAAACTATTGCCACCCCTCCTTGTTAGCTTCTACCAGTGGTGTGCTCATTTGTAAAGTAGCTCTTAAGCAGTAGAACCTTCCCAAATAAGAATTAAAAATCAGGTTTTTTAAAAATTGCTTAATCCTTTCTGCTGTTAGGGGTGGTCAAGTAGCTTAACTTTGACTACTTCAGAAGTTTGAGATTGTAAGATAACACAGCTAAAAAGGTGATAGTTAAATTTTATTCAGCGCTAGCTAGATTGCACTTGTATGCTGTGTCCAGTTCTGGGTACTGTACTTCAAAAGGGCTGTGGAGAAGTTTAGAGGGAGTCAGAGAGGAGAGCTGTTTTCTTCTGAAACAGCAGGACAGTTACCAGTGGGGAGAAATTAAAGAAGGATTGAGCTCAATATTAGGAGTAATTTCCTAAAAATAAAAATGAAATTAGCCTTTATTGAAGGTTTTAAAACGGGGGCTCGGCTGGACAGCCATTTGTTGGGGATGACTTACCAAATTCCTCCGTTGAGGTTGGACTAGAACAGTGTTTCCCAGCCTTGCAACTGCTGGCTGGGGAATTGTGGGAATTGAAGTCCACACATCTTAAAGTTGCCAAGATTGAGAGAGACTGGACTAGAGGATATGTAATGCATCATTATTCTTTGAGGTGGATTTGTTGCTTCAGGAGTGCAAATAGAGAGCAACAAACTTCCCAGTTGCAATGCTTAGGAATGGAACTGAATGGAGAACTTGAGCCTCAGAAAGAACCTTTTTAGAAAGAGTTAGTTTCTAGGTTCATCTCCTTTTGATACCAAAGGAAATTTAATCACACAAATACATCCACCAAGGCACTTGACCTCTGAACTCTTATGGATGGGCTGCCTTAGTCTTAGTGTAGTGTGAAATTCTTCCATGATGACTACAACTACCTGCCAAGCTGGAACCGATTTCACCTTTGACGTCCACATGGGTGTGCCACTGGATACTATTTTAAGCTTCACATGCCAACAGTTCTGCTGCAGAGATAATTGGGTATAGCAGACTGTAACAACAGCTACACAGACAATAGAAATGGATTCCAAAGCTTCAGGACCAGCACCAGGCTGCCCAGTGCTTGAAAATATTCCTTCGGGACTTGCTGTTTTTAGAACGATACCGTATGCCTTAATCTTGCCAGAGCTGGTAAGTCAACTAACTTTATTTTGTTGTATTTTTAAAAGAATCCTATATTTAGTTTTACATGGGGCAGCTTTGTACATTATGCAGTATAACTGTAGGTACTCACAGAGTATAGGAAGAAATAGCGATGACTCTTGGTACTAGCTACTTGCATGCTATATGCAGATCTGTGCACACACATTTTTATGCTAATTGTGCTCATCGTTAACGAAAGGTTTATTTGAACATCAGTAATCTTGTTTCATTTTGTGGATCAAGAATTGCACATGTTGATCAGCTATGCATCAAAGCAGATGCCATATATCTGGTTCCCACTGCTCTCAGTGGGATGTGCACTTGAATTCTCTTAAGGATTTGAAGCATCTATCACATTTAACGTACAGCACAAAGTTGTAGCTTTGTAGGAAGAGAGCCGTGTTAGTCTAAAGTAGCTGAAAATCAGAAAGAATCCGACAGCACCTTTTAAGATTAACCAATTTTTATTTTAAGGCATAAGATTTTGTGAGCTGCAGGTTACTTCATCAGATAAACAGAATAGCTTAATTGATGTGGCTTGTATATTAAATCTGGATTGGCAAAGATGATAAAATTGGAGTAATTTCAAGAAACCACATTTTCTTGATGCAGAACTTCTATTATCTCTTGAGGACTCAGCTGGTGTCTTGGACTTCATATATCCAGTGTGGGAAAAACCCTAATAGAATCTCCTTGTTTAAAGGCAATATAACTCTGATTGTTAGATGCTGAGTATTGATAGTCTTGGAGATTCCCTATGGTTACATCCATCTGCAGAACTTGGCTTTCAGAAATTTGTCCTATTTTTTAAAATATAAAATCAAAGTAACTAATCATCATTACACATGATAATAAAATCTTGCAATACCCCTTCCCCTTTTTATGCTTCAGTGAATTAGGGAGGCATCTGTCTGAGCTGCTTCCAAATGTTATCCGGATGTTCTGGATTTAAAACATATTTTACTACTTGTTGCCTGAATAATTGTGATAATGAAATTCCCTGGGAAATGGTGGCCTTGCATTTTGTACTTTGCTTCACTTTGAGAACTTTCAGGAAATTATAATTCAAGATTTGTAAAACATGGTAGAGTGACTATGTTCCTTATGTTAATTGTATTCTCAATTAACTGTATGAGGCATGGACTTTAACTCAACTGGACTTTGTCTTTGACTAGGATAGGATAGGATAGGATAGGATAGGATAGGATAGGATAGGATAGGATAGGATAG